AAAACTCTTTTATGTTGTGAATAAGGGCGGATACAGGATGCTACAACGTTAAGAAGTTACATGTCGTGGGTGAAATATGCCCTGCCTGGCTGGCAGGGCACTACAACGACATGAAACCAGAAAAAAAAAAAAGCAAACCACAACCGCACATAGTGGACAGATACATTCCTCAAAGCATTGGTGTTATGAGCCATGAAAATAATCTCTGTGTCGTAACAATTTCCTTCAAATTTCGAAACGAAGATCCAATCGAATCGGACTAGGCTGGTCGTCGGGGCGCCTGGGGCCCTGGACGTCGCTCGGGAAGGGGGCCCGACCAATCGTCCCTTCTGGTTGGCCACCGGGCGGTCGCAACGCAAAACGCCTGAGGGGATATCGAGAGGCCGAATCGGTCCAGGCTGCCCCCCCAAGGCCGGTAACACACGCCCGCGAAAAAAAAATAAAAATTGTAGGTCACGCCAAGGCCTTTTTTGGGCCGATCATATCTAGCTACCGATCTGCAGAAATCGGTGGTTAAGATCGATCATCAAGAGAGGGGGGTGCCATTCGCGAAGTCTAACGAAGCTCGAATGGCAGCCCCCACCAGCATTCGAACATTCAAATGTTTCCCTGCTGGCAGCTGGCAGGGGCTACCAATCAATCAATCAATCAATCAATCAATCAATCAATCAATCAATTAATCAATCAATCAATCAATCAATCAATCAATCAATCAATCAATCAATAAAAAAAACAAAAACAAAAAAGAAACTTGCATTTGGCTCGCGTGCGTGAGAGAGTGTTTGTGTGTTGTCATATTCACTATACACCTCGGCTACCAGAGTGGCCCGGGACTACTTGCCCGGCCGGGCCAAAAACAAGATAAAAATAAAAATTAATAATTATTTTTTAATTTATTTTTTTTCTCAAAATTTTGTACAGAATTTCGATGTGACCCTAAGGCAAACGTTGTTCAGTTTAATTTTTAAAAAGGCATAGTTCTTTTTTCGGATTTTATCGATTTTTGTTCAGTTTAATTTTCTGGATGACATAGTTTTTTTTCCGGATTTATCGATTTTTTTTTTTTTTTTTTGCTAGGTCCTTCCCTGGTCCTTGCACGACCAGGCTGCCCAGGAAAATAGGGTGACCCGGGCAGCCCGGCTGGTAGCCGAGCTATACACTAAAAAAAAACATGACTATGCCAGACTGTTTTGTTAGACTTTCACTGACTCATTAGAAGGTTGAACCCCGGCAGTCTGCCCACGATTCATTTGACTGATGGATAAGGACTCACCACATCGCCCGGAGTTAGCGACACCCTTGAGAAAAGTGGTCGACTTTTTTTTTTTGTGTGTATGTGTGTGTGTGTGTTTGAGAGAGAGAAATATACACTGCCAAACTTTTTTTTCTTTTTTTTAATGAGAGAGAGAGAGAGAGAGAGAGAGAGAGAGAGAGAGAGAGAGAGAGAGAGAGAACAGGTAAGTCTCCAACCTTGCAGCTGGCCTCATGGTACTTCCATAAATAAGATGAGCAAATCGAATAAATCTACCGCTAGAACATGGAAATATACACTGCCACACTGTTT